CCCCCGCCCTGCCTTCCCTGGCTCAAAGCATCCCTGCAAGAGGTTTCGATCCCTGCTAACTTCTCCATTGTCTCAGAACCATTGTTTGCAAATATTCCCTAAAAATATTATGTAAGGTATTCTTTATTCCTGTTTCAGGTCTTTCCACATCCCTATGTAACACCTGGACTTTATCTCATTACCTGTCAGATAGCGATAAACCTACTGTGTGCAGCCCCTGACTTATCATCTAAGATAAATACGATCTGTCTTGTAGCTGTCACTTCTTTTCAAACCCTGCCTTCCACTGCTGCATTTCTATTTGTAGCAAATTACTTATTTTATTTGGGCTTAAAATGTGTAACTTAAAAAAATACGAAAATATTTTTAAAAAATCAGCAAGAGCTCCCAAAACCCCATAAAATTTAAAACATGGCCTTCCTGGCACTGGATTTACTGCTGCTTTGTGGGCAAGGAGGCTCCTGCTCCTGTTTATCTTCTACAATAGCATTTGCATTTACTTTACATACGATACGTTGGAATTTATGCTACCTGATAATTTTTGTTTTTAATAATCAACCAAGAGGCCCAATGATGAAAAGCATCCTTTCTCCAGAACAAGTCATAAACTAAGCTGATAAGATTTGAGTTGGTGGTGGCTTCAGTATAAGTGAATTGTGAGGTCTAAAGTGCTCTGGGCTATCACCTGAGCCCCTGCTGTCACTTCAGAAAGGCACGTGCCTCCCTGGGGTCCTGTCCTGTTCTCTGCCAGCCCCCTCGGGATGTCTCGCATCGCACTGGATGTCTGTTTATAGCACCCATATCAAGCCCCAGGCGTCCTGAGCAGGAAGGGACAAAGCCTGCACTCAGACACATGCCGCAGCGCTGTTAACGCTTGTGCCTGACAGCAGCGATCACCCCGAACACGTACGTTTTACAGAAGCCTTCACGTTGCATTTGGCTTTTCTCTGAACTCTCCTAGGCACTCAGGGGCTCTGCAGCTCTTTCCATAACCCCAGCGCAGTGTGTTTATCCAAACAGCTTGATGCTAACTTTCCAATTGCCTCACCATATCGGGCTGTATCGCAGCCTTCTTACCCCATCCCTCCCGTGCTTCTGTGGAGCTCCAGCCATACCACACACAAGGTCACCAGGTTTTGTATGATTTGCTCCTTGCAAAGCACAGGTTGAGGAGTGAAAGAGATCACACCTTTATTCACTCACATTTACCTAAAACCTGCATTTGCTGAAGCACTTGTAAATGCTCTTTGCTGATCTTCTGCGGGTTGTGGTCAGAGTGATGACTGAGTTACAGCAAAGGAGGTTTAAGCTGGACATCAGGGTGTTTCCTGTACACCAGGAAAGTAAGGAGTCTCCACTGCAGATCTTTAGGAGCAGGATGGAGAAATAGCTGTCAGGGATAGCAAAAGCATAGCTGCTCCTGCCTTTGGACAGAGGCATGGATTAGATGACCTCTAAGCACCTCCTGAGGATATTTTCCATAATTGAGAGTTGTATGTGCCATCTGTCCATTCTGATCTACAGAGATTTACTTCGGAAAAAAAAAAGTGCAACACAACCAATATTTATTCCTGCCACAGATGCAACCTTTGTGTGGGGAGAGGCATCTTCTGATTCTGTAGAGGAAACTGAAGCCTTCAAAAGTTAAACCACGTTCTGTGTATCTGCCCAGATCCTCTTACCCTCCCAAGGCAGAACACTGCATTTTTTTACCCCTAACAGACCAACCCTCAACATTCAGCTACACAAGCATCTCATTAAGTAGGCAACTTTCTCTGCCTTTTAAAAATGAGCAGAGAGGCAAGGAACTGGTGCCGTTGTGTTCAAGTAGCTTCACCAAGGCCATTCAGGTCCTCTGATGCCAAATCTGAAGGTGACCCATGAGGCAACCAAGCCTTCTGGTCCTACATACCAGACTCCAATGAAAGAGAGTAACTCTCCATTGGCTTGCGAGAATACTCCCTGATTCCTTGACACACATCTCAAGATCTCTTAGGTTTTAGTTGAGAGTCCAACAGAAAAGAAAGCTTTAATAGCCCATCTCCATTTTCAGATGGAAAGCATGCAATAAAGAAGGACCTAGAGTTCTTCACCATCCAGATCAGATAGAGAGAACGAACAATAAGAGCTGAAATCTGTTCAAGCTGAAGACAAGGACAAACTTTGCAGGACACCAAGAGAGATGCTGATACCAGCCTTTGGGTGGAAAACACCTCGCTCACAGCTGTGCAGAGCTCGGAGCTCAGCCACACTATGCCTTACCCCATCTCACGTGTACAAATGTGGGTGGAAATGTCAAACCGAAGCAAAGAGCTGAAGCATAGTGAGAAAAAAAGCACCCTGGTGGAAAATCTGCGAAGCCTTTAACATCCTGTATAGATGAAAAATCGTACAGCCATCAGTCACCCAGGCAGAAAGGAAGTGGTAAAGGGGCAGTTTTTCCCTCCACACCATATGGAAAAGCTGCCAGGCTGAAGAGCGAAGGGGACGTACTCAGCCAGCCAGCCCAGACCCTTCAGAGAAACACAACTGAAAGAAAGAGTGAAGATTCAAAACAGTCCCTCCAAACCTCCTGCTGGACTGAGCTTTCCCCAGTGGTTCTTAAGAGGGCTTAACCACATGGCTCTACATAAAATCCATTATTGAAGATTAAACAAAAAAGATGAATAGCTTTCAGAAGTTGATTACATCCAAACGCAATGGTGCCAGCAGCCCTTATGGAAACATCCTATTAAAATGTCAGCAAAAATAGAAATGCAAACATGGGAGACCTGGCAGGAGGCTTTTCAGCTCAGATCTTTAGTGCCTTTTGCACCCAGTGACAGAAGGACAGAGGCTAAAAACATCATTACTGGGCTGACATCCCCTGACCTGGCACAGGATAATGCTGATTCTATTTTTTATGTATAAAAATACATATGGAAAGAGAGACAGATTACGTACATGTGTAAATTATGAACTTATCACCTTATCAGTATTAAAAAGGAGACCTGCTTGCTTTTTTTTTTCCCCTTCACACCCTCAAATAGGTCGTTTTTATTTTATATACACACATACATGTTTGCAGTTTGTACCCATGTGTTTTCTCTACAAATTCAGAGGCTCATAGCTCGCCTTCTTAATTCAGAATTTAATCCATTTGCCACTTCAGATGAGATTTCATTTTCATAGCATTTTTGTGATTACATTTACATTGACTTTTTTACTGAGATTGGAAATAAAGTATTTCTTTCACAGATCTAATTCAATTGAAACGTTTCTCACATCCCTGTTGGACACTTTATCTAATCTTTTTGTACTTCGCTTGGGCCATATGCTCTGGGGGGTGTCTCTCTGCCAGGAGGAGCTGGCCATACTGGCTTTCTCCCATGCAGAAGAATGAATTTATCAATTACTACAGTTCTTGAGTTACACAGGTCTGGGACTTACAAGCCTGATAAGAAACCTGAAAGCAAATACATCCAAAGATCGAGTTATCTAATAGTTGACCATCTGCTTAGGAAAATAATTTTAAGTAGTTAAGGCAATTCTGTTAACTGCTGTTTACTAAGTGAGTCATGTTCTCTTTAAGTTAACCCTTCCTGTCTCCTCTGTGGGCCCACTGCCCAAGACAGTTTTGAAGGGGATGCTCTACTCCTTTCAAGCTACAGCAAAGCCTGCAATACCTCCGCACTCAGACTTACCCCAGGCTCACACTGCATCAGGAAATAAAAGGGCATTAAAGCAACTGTGGTGCTTCTGGGCGACTCTTAGATGACACAACCAACCGTGCAGAAAAATCTCCTCCCAGGAGCATCCCCGTTGAGGGCACACCACACACTAGCACGTACACAGCAGGAACGCGTCTGCTGCTCAATGTGCTCTTCCAGGATGGGCTGCCTGCACCTCCGTGAGGGCAGGTCACCCCAGCAGGGCCCTGGAACCCTATCCACCAGGGCAGAAAGCCTTCTCACACATCCTCCCAGCAGCTCTGGGGACAACCGTCACCCTACAGCCCCTTCTCCTTTCCTTCATCTGCCCTCAGCACAGAGATCCGAGGCCCCTCTGTGACTGGCAGCTCCACCAACACAGTCGCCGGGTACCAAGGCTCAGAGAGCTCCCAGGCACAGCAGAAAGGACACCACCAAAAATCTGTTATAGGTGCTTGACACAGACGAGGCAGGGTCAGGCCTTTTGGGTGCAAGGAGTGGGGTAACACTGCACACAGGTTTAATGCCATCTATTCAGTCCCTGCCCTTTCTCCCTTAGTGTGATTGCAAAGCTGATGGAAATCTCCTTTGCCAAACGCTACAGAGAAGTTCACAGGATGCAGGGTGCTCCTATAGAATCACTATTTTATGATAAAGCACAAACATCAGCTGAAGGGCTAGGAGGAGGGCTGGGTGCAGGGGGGTAAAGTCCAGCACTTGATGTTTGAAGGAAGGTCCTTGGAGCAAACATCTGGGAGTGTGGGGGTGTGTCGGGGGACTGACAGTTGGGAACCGGCACGGTGTGAGGAGCACCGGCTCCACGGTGGAAAAGCCATCCGAGCCGGGGCAGGGGAAAGCGCTGGCAAAGCAAAACCTCCCCCGTCCTGAGGCAGGGGGTAAGACGGGCGGACACTTTTAAAACTCGCGGGAGAGGCAGGAGAGGGACCGGGGCTGTGGCGGACACCGCGAAGGACGCGAGGGAAGTTGAGCTGCCCACAGGGGCTCCCCGGACCGGCGACCGCCGGGGACGCACCAGCGGGACACCGGTACCGCCCGCACCGCCCCGGCGGGAGGAGGCAGCGGGACGAGCCCCGCATCCCGCCCCGGCCGGCAGGTCCCGCTCCGCCCCGAGATCTGCACACACCGGGCACCCCGCCGCCCCTCACCCTGGAGCCCGACCCGCGGCCACCATCACCCACCTGCCCTGGGGGCGCCGCTCCGTTCCCGCACCGCTCCGGCTCCGCCTGCGCCTCCGCCGCGCCCC